CAAAATGGTAGCAGGAAGCACTTGAACTAAAGCTTGTCGAATGAGCTTTAGCACAAGCACCCCTGCTGCCATTTTGAAGCACAAGGATGCTGATACATGAGATGCTGCAGTGCTTTAATTGGAGTGGCTATTGGAGCCACTCTAATTAAAGTTCTGTCTGCTCCTTCTACCCCTGGAGCATGTGTGAAAGTGCCTGGAAGTACTAGACTTAATATTCATTACCTAAAGCACACTAATGAATGTGTAGATGCACCCAGAGTCTAGTTGACGGGAGGGATCTGTTGAGTGGATTCTGGGTTTGGTATCATTCAGCATCTTCACAAATGATCTAGATGTATTGCATGCATGCTTAGCAGATTTGAGGATGACACCAAGTTGAGTGGAATAGCAAATGCTCTGGAGGGCAGGGCTAGGATCTAGAATGATGTGGGTGGACTGGAGAGAGGGTCTGAAATCAGTCAGATGAGATTCAGTGGGGACAAGGGCAAAGTCCTGTACTTAGGTCAGAATGTGTGTATTCATAAATACAGACTGGAGAATGACTGGCAGACTGCAGTACTGCAGAGAAGGACCTGAGGTATACAGTGGACCATAAGATGAATATGAGTCAACAGCATGCTCTTGGAAGAAAGCCCAGGAGTATATTGGGCTGTATCAACAGGAGCATCGCTTGCAAATCAAGGAAAGTGTTTCTTCTTCTCTCTAGCATGGGTGAGGCTTCACCTGGAGTACCGTGTCCAGTTTTGCACCCCATGCTTCAAGAAAGATGCAGACAGATTGGAATGAGTTCAATGCAGAGCAATAGAAATTATTAGGGATCAATCCAGACTTATGAGGAAAAGCTAAAAGAACTAGGATTGGAGATTAGGAGTAACTTCTGACTGTGAGGGTGGTCAAGCCTTGGAACAGGCTACCTGGAGGAGTTGTGGAATCTCCATCCTTGGAAATGTTCGTGAGGAGCTTGGACAGACACTTGGCTAAGATTATTTAGTTGAGGACAGTTCTGTTTTGCATAGCGAGTGGGACAAGATGACTTTATGAGGTTCCTTGGAGCTCTGTTTTGTGATTTCATGCAACTAATGCCACTTCAGACTTTCAGATGAATTTTTAAGATATGCTTTGTGTCTTTCCTACACTGTTTATAATTTTTCTGTACTTGGACACTGAAACATTGACTTAATTATTTTTTATATAGTTGGTTTCAGTCTGAGTTGTAATGTTTCTGTAAGTATATTTTTAAGACTTGATTTTGTTGAACATTAAAAAAGGCATGTTGGAAACATTTCACTTAATTTTTATAAGACCTCAATTAAAAAAAAAAGCGTTGATCTGAATTTAATTCGCAAGTGCTTTTGAAATCATTTGGACAGACTCTGGACCTGTTGTTAATGCTTCCTTTATGGCCCAATTTTGTTGTATAAAATATAATATTTTAATAAAACATCCTGTCAAATTTCAGAATGTGTCATTGTTCATAACCCACCAGTGTTAATAACAACAGGCTCTCAAACCATCCAGTGTCATGTCTGTGCCTCATTCAACAAATTATCTTTAAATTCAGCTACCTCCTTTCCACCAGTCCTGGTCTTCACACATCCACCCTCAACCAGAACATGCATTGTGCTTGAATGATAAGCGAGTTAATAACGTATGTTCTCTTTTCTTGTATGGATAGAGTTTTTTCTAAGTTTATATTAGTGTAACATGCAGTGTATCAACTTTTGAGTTACCAGAGGTTTAGTTTATATTAGAAACGCTGATTGCATTTATCAATTGAAAATTTATCTAAGGGATGCCACTGAAATTCCCTAATATAGAAAGCAGGGGTAGGCAAAATGGTGGATTTGGCAGATGGCTGGACTCCATTTCCCAGCAGTCCCTACCTGTGTGATTCCCAGCCAGTCTCCATGGATACCTTGGGAGTAGTGGGGCTGTGACACTTTGGGGCTGCAGAGTTGGGTCTCTGCCCTAGCCCTGCTCTGTTATAGCCCCTCACTCCCAAGGTCTTCGTGGAGACTGATCAGGAGCTGGGTGGGTTGCTGCTTCAGGGCTGGGATCCTGGGGCAATGACAGCACAGGGTTGCGGAAGAGCCATGATCTGCTCCCTGCATGCCCATGCCTTCACTTGCCACAGGGGCATGTGGACTGTGGATTGCGACTCTGCCCTGGCCCCGCGCTGTCACTGCTTCAAGCTTTTGGGGTCTCTCTGGCCCTAACCATGTGGGTCCTGGTTCTGGTGGTGGGTGCAAGGCAGATGGGCTGGGAGGCCCAGGCAGTAAGGCTGTGGCTGGCAGCCAGAAGGAGCTGCTGCTGCAGGGGCTGCTGGGAAATGGAGCTGCTATGGGCCCATTCTGGCCTGTGGGCTGGACTTTGCCCACCCCTGGTATAAAGGGTTATGTACAATGGATCAAGCATGAGTTAACCTGTTTTAAATGTCTGTCAGTGGGGGGACCACACTTCTTGGCAGTTATGCCTCAAATTAGCCCCATAACCTCTCTGAGTACCACTTCAATCCCTTTTCTGTCCTGATCTGTTGCTCTGCTTTATAGTTCTTTCCAACTTGCTTCTCTGATTGCTGCTTTCTTCCCTATCTGCGGTTGTGTTGCCTGTTCCCTCCCTGATCTGCTGCCTGGTGCAGAGGTAGCCTGTGTCACGTCTGGCTCGGTTACCACAGGTTAGCCACCCCTGGTCTGTACAGGTTTCCCTTGCCTTTATGTGGTGCGTGTGTTCCTGGAAAACAGCACGTAACTCGAATTCACATAAAGGGAACCCAGTTTATGGGGTAACAAATAGGGATATCTTCCCATGATGGTGAGGGAGGAAGTGGGGCAGGGGCCAGGCAAGGGAAGGGGGCAGGGTTGCGGCACAGCCCAGCAGTTGCAGGCAGGTGTCATTGGCTGCTCCTGGGGCTGTAGCAGGGAGCAAAGCAGAGGGAACTGTCAGTGGGCGCGGGGTGCGGGATGGGGAGGGGGGTGCAGCTCTTGCTGCACGTGCACCCCAGGAGGGCTGTGGGTTGCAGGGCTACGTCGGGCTCTTCTTCGGGGCGTGTGCCCCCAGATTTGCATGTGGGAGCAGGGCAGGCTGCTGCCATGGGCTAGGGCCAACAGTGGCACAGGGTTCTTCCCAACAGGAGGCTGGGTTATTGCACTTGGGGAGGGCGGCAGCAGCTCTGGGAGGGGAAGTTGGTGGGGCTATAGAGAATTTTTGGGGTGGCTGCAGCCCCCCTCCCGGCACTGCCATCCCAAGTGCAGTGTGGCTCAGCCCCCTGCCGGGAAGAGCCCAGTGCTGGCACCAGCCTGCAGTGGCAGCCTGCCGTTGTCCTGCATGCAGATCCGGTGGCCCACATCCCCTGGGAAGAGCCTGGTACAGCCCGCAGCCCTCCCGGGGTACATGTAGCAGCAGCAAGAGCCATGTACCCACGCCCCACAGTCACTGACAATTCCCTCTGCTTTGCTTCCTGCTGCAGCCCTGGGAACAGACTGCCACCTGCCTGCAGCTGCTGGGCTGTGCTGCGCCCCTTCCCCTGCCCTTTCCCCTGCAGACTTACCTTGCATATAATGAATTTACCTCACATATAATGAATTTTGGATGTAAAAAGGGTCGTTGCATAGGATTGAATTCACATATACAGAACCCACATAAAGCGAGGAAAACCTGTATTTTATACAAGTTTATTGCACTGTTTCTAGACAAAGCTAAAATCTGGGATGTGGATGTGCAGGCAGGGCCTGGGAAATAACTAAAAGCTTATATGGGCTAGGGGTGCGGTGGCCAACATTTTGGGCAGACTTGCTACAAGTTAAGTCTTTCTTCCCTCCCAGAAACAGTGCAAGAATCCAAAGGAGTCTTGAATTAGATGGTAACTGGGGGAGGCTCAAAGCCCCTACCTCTGTTCCAGCCCCTCCCTTTACTGAGTCCCTGGGGCTCGCATACCATGCACACCAGCTGCCCCTGCCACTTGTGGCATGTGTGTTGTGCGTTGACCACCCCTGGTTGACTAGAGAAACTTGTCGTGGGGTAACTAAACTGAAGTCCTTCTAGTGCTCCAAACCCATGTTGTTGAGGGTACTGCACCAGGAGAAAATTGTACTGATGCAAGCTTTGTTTCTTCCAAGTCCAGGATGTATCCTTCTGGGATGTGTCAAGTGACTTGTATAGCCATAGAGGGTCTGGGAATTCAGGAAAGGTTTAGGTAGGGGTGGGTCCTGCTGCTGAATTACCAGTTGTGGAGCCACGTTGGGGATGCATGCCAGCAGCAAGGGGGTTGATGGTCCAGATCCAGCCTGTGGGTAAGGGTGAGTTTAACATCTGTGCTCTAGGGGTTTGCATTCATGGGGAAAAAAATGCTGTGTATTTAGGCTAGGGATATAGCTATCCATTTTGTAGTCTTGTCAGTAGTTATTACTGTTCTGCCTTATTGCAGAATCCTGCAGAGCTACATTTTCTCATCATGGGCATTTTTCCACATGAGAGTGCCACGTGTTTTGAAAAGCGCCCAATGTTGCAATGCTTGCAGTTGTATAAGTGGCGAAATGTGCATCAGAGCTGAGAAAAACGCTTTTGAATTAAAACACATAGAAGATACTTTCATTCAAAAGCGCACCGCCAACATTTTCTCCATACTAATGCGTATATTGCTGCTTATACGACTGCATGCGATGCAGTGCAGTGCATGTCAGCGATTAATCAAGTCTGCTGCTCTAAAGCGGTGGATCTCCGCTGCATCGTGGGACCAAAAACTATGTGTATAAATGCCCCATGTGTTTACACGCATCCATGCCTGTGTTTAGCAGTGTACTCCTTTATCAGCATACTTTTGCCTCTAAACATTTATAGGTTTACAGATTGGATGTACTAGGGGGGTATGGGACACGGCTGGGAGTTGGGCTGCAGGGAGTGGAGAATGGAAGCAGTAAGGGAAGTTTGACTGCTAGAGTGGAGATAGGGGCAGAGTGGATGTCTGCTCTGCTAACCTTCCTGTGATTCAGCTGAACAGAACTCTGCCAGATCACAGGATGTGGTCAGAGGGCAGAGCTACTGGTGAATCACAGGAGATGCATCACAGCAAATTTGCTTTCCGGCCCACTTTTGGAGCACGTAGGTGTGGGGAGCACAAGGGAGAGAGCAGCCTGTGGAGAGGAGTGGATATGTTTATCGGTGAGTACAGGATTGGGGGTGGGAGGGGGGAGGAATAACCTTTTGGGAAGTCCCTGGTCAGTCAGCCCAACTTAGGTCTCTGACTGGGACATCTTTGCTATAGTGCTAGAGGCAGAACCTTTTCTCTAGATTTAAAACTGACAACTTTTTTTGTTTTTAATAGATCTTGGACTCAGTCTCACCTTTCTCTTGCTAGTGGTTAGTAAGAGGGAGCTTTGGCTATTTTCTAGGAGGAAAGAAAGGGGGAAAACCTGCAGTTGAGAGTACCTGAACAATACAGTTAACCATTTCTTCATGAGAGGCAACTGCTTCCTCTAGCAAACCTTACTGTTAGCAGAATTTCAGCTTTCATAGAATTTGTCCCTACTGAGAAGGTGCTTATTTAAAATGCTGATTTATGGTAGAAAAATAAAGCCCAAAGCCTCATTGCAAAGTAAAAAACAGAATTCATGTACAAATAGCACACATTTTATTTGCAGCCAACACCACTACTGACATTCCATGAATTGAGAAACCTGAAATCCTTCAGCTAAGCTGTGCAGTTTGTCAATAAGACTTAGTATTTAAAATCACTTATGTACCCATGTATGTGTTTGGGAGCTTTATGTTATATTACTATTGAAAAATCTGGCCAGTGCATGTTTTAAAAAGCCAACGCATGTGTACGTGGTGTGTGTGTGTGTGTGTATATATAAAACGTAAACCTCTGTATTTATTTGCATTGAAGCAATTATATTTTGAAGTGGAAGATGTGATGCAAGATACCTTCCTATTAAAAATAAAAGTTTACCTCTGATGCTATAACTGTATATAACGCTTAAAATTTTAGCCAAGTGAGTAGTCCTATTGTTGTCAGTCAGATTTAGTCATATTAGTACAATTAATATTTGTCTGAATATTTGTGAGGTCAGGTCTTAATTTATACCAACTCCTCTCCCTGCCCCTCCCCCCTCAGCCTTCTCTTGTGGAGGCTGAACAGGTTCAGGTCCCGTAGCCTCTCCTCATAGGGCCTGCCCTGCTGCCCCCT